TAAGCAAAAACAACGCCAGCATCACAACCCCAGGCCCAGCAGCAACCACAACAACCACAACAACAGCAACAACAACAGCAACAACAGCAACAACAGCAGCCGCACCCTCAAGGGGGGCCCCGGCGGGCGCTGCGCTTCAAACCCGCGGCACGGTCCCAACCCTGATACACGCGAGGCAGCACCCGGCGGGGCGGGGTGGGGCGGGGGGGAACTAACGGCGGCAGGAGGTCAGGAGCTTTTTAGCGGAGGGAAGGAGGGGGCCTCGGTGTGTGGGGTGTGTGTGTGGTTGTGTGTGTGTGTGGGGGGGTGGATGTGTGTGTGTGGGGGGTGGGGGGGTGGATGTGTGTGGGGGGGTGGTAGTGAGAGATTCTTAAGCAAGGAAGCAAGGTATAAACCGCGGGGTGGGGGATGGAAGGCGGTGGGGTGGGGCACCAGGGGGGAGAAACAATGATGGAGCTTTGGAGGTTCGGGGGGTATTCCCAGACGCATACACACCACACGCGTAGGGGCACAGGATGTGTGTACATGTGTATGTATGTGTGTATGTATGCATTTGTAAAAGGTTATGAAACGGATAGTAGATTACATCAAGCTGGGAGCGGTGGTTCGAGTTCGGGGGGCTGGTGGGTTACGGGCTCTGGAGAGGTGGGTCGGTGGAGGAGGTGCGGCTCTGGAGACTGCCCGGGGGGCCGTGTGGGACTTAGGGTTTTGCCGCCGCGTTGGCGGTGGTGGTGCGGATGACCGGATCCTCAACAAAATAGCATATGACCAGAGCAGTTGCGACATTTGTAGCGAACTTGTAGTGAAGTTGTGTATCACGTAACTTGGAAGTGCAGTGCTACTCGGCGAGGAGGTAGCAAGTGCCCCCCAAGTGGGGCTGTTTAGCAGCTCTGCCGCCGCGCTGCCGGGTAGCCGCGGGAAAAAGCGCAGCCCACCCCCCAACCCCCCGGCCCGGGGGCCAGTCACTGCAAGCCTGTGTTTGCAGCTCAATTGGACCCGGCGGGCGGATTATTTTTTCGATTCCTCGCAGCGCAGCTCTTCTCGCGGACTGTACCGCATTTTTGCGTACGTACGGATGGCCCGAGCTCATCATCATCTCACTCTGACACCACACGGGGCACACCGGCGTTTGTTGCAAACTAGGGGGAAAGAGGCCGACGGTGGTGGATGGGGTGCTGGTGGCTGGAAAGGGTTTTAACAATCGGGAGGGGACTGCCGTACTGTCGTACCGTCTCCGTAGTAGCCTGCGACAACCAGTTTCCCCCCTGCTGGTATTGGTGACAATACCGTGCCGCAACACATATACACACACGCACATATACATACATACGTGTACGGCACCCTCGTCATTTAGGTCCGCTCCCCCTCCCGGCAAGTGCTTGTTGGTTTGGGAAGTAAACTCACAAGGGGGAAGAAAATCCTTTAAACTTATAAAGAAGAGAAAAAACATTCTGTGCAATGCCTTCTTTCCCCCTCCTGCGGGGGAGGTCTGGAGACCTGGAGGTCTCTTCTGCGTGCACGGTTACGAGACACGCCCGCGCACACCGGGACTTCTTTGTCCGGAAAAAAGTGTGTCGTACGCGCACTAACTACCGTATCCGTGCTCAGATCACCGCTCCCCTCTTGCGTTTCACCCACACCAACTCGGTGGGCCACTCGTAGGGGGTTACCCCTTAAAAATTCCCCTAAAGACGATGATATCTTCGACTTGACAATTATAAATGATAATGTCATGAACCTCGTCGACTCGACACCCCAATATTACCCCCCCCCCTTCGCGAGCTTTACCCCACCCGCCATATACCCCCAAATCGACATGGAAAAGACATGCATATCCGTCTGTCTGTCTGTCTACCTATCTGTCTCATCCACCCGTACGTCCATCTATCTGTCCAAGTGAGATACGTCGTACATTCCGGGAGCTCCTAAACCCTCCTCCTCCCCCCCCCATCCCCTCCTCCTCCTCCTCCTCCCCCTCCTCCACAAGCCGTCCTTACGCCACGGCGTTTGCCTGGGCCATAACTTGGCACAACCGGTTTAGAGTCACCAGGCCCTGAAAGGGGGGGGGGGTGCGGGGCACGGGGGGGGGGGATG